CTTCAGGGCCAGGTGGTGGACGCGGCCCAGGCCGGGCTCCACCAGCAGCTGCAGCAGCCCCAGGAGCGGAAGCCACCGGAGGCCCGCGAAGAGCCGAGGACAGCGGGAGCCCGAGGGGCCGAGGGGCGCCGGGACAGCCATGTTTGTTCCAACATCACCAGCTGCTTCCGCTCCCTCCAAGCACTTCCGGGGTTAAAGGGCAGCGGCCGCCGGAAGGGCCTGGAAGTAGAGGGCGGGGCGCGGCGGCCTCCGGCGCGGAACCGGTGGCTTTCCTGCTGGAATGCGGGGCCGGGTCAGGCGCTGGGGGGCCGTTCGGTCGGCTTTCCCGGTGCGGAATTCGGTTTAGCTAGAAGAGGTGGGACCTCCAGGAGGACCCAGGGCGGTTGTCATGGGAACAACCGGACCACACCTACCTCCCGCCGAGTTTTGAAAGCGACCTGGACCTGCGAGCCCTGGACCGCGGGGGAACCCGGCTCTCCGAGGGTGGGGATCTCTTAAAGCGGCCGTGGCACCTTGCCTGGTGGTTCATTGGACTGATTTCACAGGCGGCATTGACTCGGTGGGAAATGCCAAGTTCCTGGCTTGTTAGAAGTCCCTTGATGGTTATTTTTTGGAGGCACTTCACACTCAAATGTCAAACGAAATGGTTGCAGTAATACGATTTATTAAGAAGCCCTTATCAGGTGCTTGGTTAGGCCTTTTGTAGGCATTATTGCATTTAATCCTCGGAACAGCCTAATGAGGTAGGCGGTAGGTGTATCCCCACTTTACAGGTAAGCAGACTGAGCCTCTGAAAAATTAAGTCATTTGCCCCAGGTTGGCGGGGAACCACACGGCAACCTTTAACTACTATTTTATGTTGCTTCATGCCGTTTCATCCGACCACTAGAGTCAGAGTGTCAACATTTTTCTCTTAATTCTGTGTGGAAACTTTCTTTGCTTTTAACCTGTGGAATTTATGGAGAGATCCTTTTTCTTTTAATCCTCATCCTAGATGTTTACTAATTTTAGAGAGAGGAGAATGGGGGTGGGATGGGGGGTGGAAGAGAAATATCGACGTGAGAGAGAAACCCAGGACCTGGGAATGTGCTCTGACCAGGAATAGAATCTGTATCCTTTCTTGTACAGGAGGAGGCTCCAACACACCGAGCCACCCGGCCAGTGGAAGGAATGGAAAGATTCAGTAGTTGGTTCCCTCCTCTCACCATTTTTATTAAGTAGGTATAGAAGAACATGCTTATTAAAGTTGCTAATAGACTAGCCAGCTTTGTTTAGTTTTTAGATTTTTTTTTCCAGCTTGCCACACAAGTAATGCTTGCTCTTTGTGTGAAGTCATTTAAGCTAAAGAGAAAATAAAAACCACCCAGGATCCCAGTATTGGGTGACTGTCAGTGTATTAGTATGTTTTATGACAGAATCAGATTCTTAAAAATTTTTAACTGGAAATAGGAACTGAAATTAACATGTTTTAATGGAGCTAAAGTGCTGCACTCAGGTAAAAAAAAAAAAAAAATACCAGTTGGGAAAATACAGAATAGGTAGGGGTGGAGGGCGGGAGAAAGGAAGGAACCTAAATCTTTTAGCTGTATGCAATCTTTTTTAAATATATATATATTTTATTGATTTTTTACAGAGAGGAAGGGAGAGGGACAGAGAGTTAGAAACATCAATGGGAGAGAAACACCAGCTGCCTCCTGCACACCTCCTACTGGTGATGTGCCCGAAACCAAGGTACGTGCCCTTGACCAGAATCAAACCTGGGACCTTTCGGTCCATAGGCTAATGCTCTATCCACTGAGCCAAACTATATATATATTTTATTGATTTTTTACAGAGAGGAAGGGAGAGGGACAGAGAGTTAGAAACATCAATGGGAGAGAAACACCAGCTGCCTCCTGCACACCTCCTACTGGTGATGTGCCCGAAACCAAGGTACGTGCCCTTGACCAGAATCAAACCTGGGACCTTTCGGTCCATAGGCTGATGCTCTATCCACTGAGCCAAACCAGTTAGGGCTACCTGTGTGCAATCTTGGTAAAGTCGTGAATCTATGAATTCTTCCCTTGAGTAAAAAACAACAACATAGTAATGTACAAGTCCTGTCACACCCTCTGCCAGGACAAAAGTAGGACACTAATGTGGCTCCAGGAAGATAGAAAGGCAATGTTTACTAGGTGGTGGGTGGTGAAGAGTATCCGTTCTTTCTCCAACCTCTGGTCTTTGACCATATATTACTAATATGTAATCTTTCATCTTTGAACAGAATTTTCATCTGACCTTACTACCCCATTTTACAGACAGACAAACTTATTTTGTGAATCCACACAGCAAGATAATCATAGTTAAATATATTTATTGAGTGATTAAGTTTGCCAAGTATTCTGCTGGTACTTTATATATACACTAGAGGCCCTGTGCACGAAATTCGTGCATGGTGCGGGGAGGGGGCTGGAGTTCCTCAGCCCAGCCTGCATCCTCTCACAATCCGGGACCCCTCGAGGGATGTTGGGCCTAAACTGGCAGTTAGACATCCCTTTCACAGTCCGGGACGCTGCATGCACCAGTGACCATACTTTTCATACAGGTGAAAGGCATCTTGCTGTTGTATGGGCAGCTACATCTTTTTGCCCTGATTATAAAAAGTAGTACATAACATGATCCTTCTGAGGCAGTAGTACCATTTTCCCCATCTTATGAGTGAAAAAAACTGAAGCGAGAGAAGTAAAGTAATTGGCTTTGTTACACAGTTATAAGTGTCAGAATCAGGGCTGACCACAAAATGTGCAGGCCAGAGTCCATGCATGTTATCACTGTATCATCCTGTTTTTTCAGTGTTAGAGTAGCCTTGCCAGGTTTTAATGTTTAAATCTAAGAGACTATTCCCAATATATAGGGTAGGGTCCCTAGGCCTGGCCAGCAATCAGGGCCATCTGATGGGGATCCCGCCCCCCCCGCTGGCACCCACTTGGCTGGTGACCTGATTGCCCCCAACTGCCCTCCCTGCTGTGACCCGCCTCCTCTGCTGGGACCTGCCTCCTCCATGCCAGGCAGTGGAGATGCCAGTACCAGTCTCCCCTGTCAGTGCAGAGCCGCGGGACCTCCAGGCCACCGGGCCTCCTCTGTGCACACAGCCATCTTGAGGCAGCATCACTTACGGGTGTGATGCCACCTAGGCTTTTAATATATAGGATAGGATAGGATTGTGTGATTTAACTCACAAAAACCTTGTAAGCTATTTCTTTTTAAAAGATGAGACTTGGTTAGATTAATTAATTCAAGGGTGTGTTACTGATTTTTATCAATGACCCAGATAGAACTCTCATTCAGGACCCGCCCACAAAGCCCAGTACTTAATCTGTCCTGCATTGTTGCAGAAAAATCATTTGCATATTAGGCTGGAAGGGTCCCTAGACAACCAACAGATCCCTCTACCTTGTTTAACAGCCATGAAAACAAATCCAAGGGACTTCAATGACTGGCTCAAGATCACACATACAGCGGCGTAATTTTTTAAAATATATTTTTATTGATTTCAGAGAAGAAGGAAGAGGGAGGGATAGAAACATCAATGATGAGAGAGAATCATTGATTGGCTGCCTCCTGCACGCCCCGCACTGGGGATTGAACCCGGGACCTTTTAGTCTGCAGGCCGACACTCTATCCGCTGAGCCAAACAGGCCAGGGGAGAGGGGCATAATTTTTGGCAGGCACCTTTAGCAACCAGGACTGGAGCCTCAGCTGCTTCAGAGTTGGACCTGTGCTTCTCACACATTACCATGGCTTTCTGGTTCGTATCATTTTAATTTTTTCAGAAAGTTAAAAGCCCAGAATCTGAGTAACTAATGTGTTAGCAAATGAAATTGTAGAGAAATTTTCCAGAAAGCATTTTAAAAATCAGCAGTTTGAAAGGACATGCTAGGAATGTGATCCTTTCTTTTATGTATCAAGCGAAATACCAAAGACAGTTACCTGATTCTCACTTCAGTATGAAACTGGTTGTTAAAGGGAAAGGTGGTTTTTAAGTGCAGTTTCATTTTTAAAGGCAGTTTGCAATGCTTTGAAATATTGTTTACTTTTTAAGTGAAGTACCATTTTTGAGAATCCCTTGTTTTAAATTTGAAGGTAATAATAGGCTTTTAAAAACGGAATGACCAGGAATAGTCTTAATTTCATTTAATAATATAATAGTGATCAAACACTTAAATAGTTTATAAAATAGAAGACTTCTGTCTTTTAGTTTCTGGAAAACAAATTGTAAGGGCTTAAAGCTGGTTCTTATTCCTTGCTTCTTTTCACTCAGAAATCATCATGTGAGTTTTACAGAGTTACATACCAGTGGTATCTGCGAGGTTTAGGAGGTATTGCTTTTCAGGGACTTGGTTGTGCCGGTCATTAGTTTGAAATTGAGAGAAATCAAAGGGGGAACACTAATTATACAGAGACTTGAAATGACGTACCTTTTAGACAGTTTTCAAATTCTGTGAAAACTGCTATGCTGGTAATTCTGTTTAGACGCAGGATCTGTTTCAAGAAAAGATTATTTGCATACTTATGCTACTGTAACTGAAAACAGACATGGTGAGTAACAGAACAAGTTATGCCTGCTTGTCCTGGGCACCATTTTCCAAGGGGCATTACACTGTAAGGTACTGGCTGAAAAGGCCTGGAGGGGCTGGAAAAACTGTTCTCCTAAACCTGGCTTTCAGCCTTGTTCTCTTTAGTCAAGTGCATTTATTTATTTTTTTTTCTATTTCCTCTAACTTCGCAGGATCCACCAAAGGTTGCCACTAGTAGCAGAATTTGTAGTTTGGACCTAATGTGATTAATAATATTTAGCATATTTTAAGTAATTGATGGGCTAATATTCTCCAGTTTTAATAAGGTATAATTGCCATTTGTTTTCTTATCAAAAGAGTTGATATTTCAAACCCAAACCTCTATGAAGACAGTATAGGAGACTAGAGATCAAATTGGAGCCTGGCAATACATTTATTTTTATTTATCTAATTTAAAATATACATTTTTATTGATTTTAGAAGGAGAGAGGAAGGGAGGAAGGAGAGAGGAACACTTACCAGTTGATCGGTTGCATCCTGTATGCACCCCAATGCCCCAACGGGGGCTCAGACCTGCAACCCGGGTATGTGCTCTGACTGGAAACAAACTGGTGACCTTTTGATTCACGG